GGCCCTCCGAGACCGGGGAGTCTGGGTCCTCCGGAGGACCCGTCCTGTCGTTTTGGACACAGCCAATAACAGGAAGCTAACAATAACAATGAGCTAACATTAATGAAGAGCTAAGGCTAACGCTGAGCTAACACTACTGAAGAGCTAATGCTAATGCTGAGTTAACAATAATGAAGAGCTAATGCTAATGCTGAGCTAACATTAATGAAGAGCTAATGTTAACACTGAGCTAACACTAACACAAAGCTAACACTGACGTTGAGCTAACAATAAAATTGAACTAACACTGACATAGAGCTAACACTAACACTGAGCTAACACTAATGAAGAGCCAATGCTAATGAAATGCCAATGCTAACGCTGAGCTAACACTAACACAAAGCTAACATTGACACTGAGCTAGCACTAATGAAGAGCTAATGCTAATGCTGAGCTAACACTAACACTAATCTAACAATAACAGGAAGCTAACAATAACACTGAGCTAACATTAATGAAGAGCTAATGTTAACAGGGAGCTAATGCTATCAGAGCTAAAACTAATGCTGACGAAGGCTGAGCTAATGCTAACATGGAGCTAACAATAATGCTGAACTAACACTACCACAGAGCTAATGCTAACAGTGAGCTAATGCTAACATTAGTATGCCAATATCACCCACCTCCAGTTAGTACAAAGAGTACCTGTCAGAGCTCTTCTTGTGGCTCCGCCCCCTATCATTCTGAGCACGATCTGGAAACAGCTTATTGGGGGGGTTGGGTGGAACCCGTGTCCTCAGACAAAAAATGCATTTCCTCTTCTTAATCTCTTTTCCACACAGAAATCTGAACACACACACACTCAGGTGTTTATATTCTGAACACACACACTTAATCTGAACAGGTTAACGGTCAGATAACTGATTCTTACTTGCTCTTGTATTTGTTGAGCGCGTCCAGCAGGTGCTGCCCCCTCTCTGCAGGAGGAGTGTTGGACAGCTGAGGAACAAACACATGAAGGAGACTTTAGGTCCAGTCTGGTTCAGGTCTTCATCTCAGGTGCTGTCCTTACCTTTCCGAGCTGTAACTGGTCCCAGTTTGCAGAGACGAAGGCCAGGATCTCGTCCAGCTCAAAGTATTTCTTCTTGCTGCTGATGGACAGGTTGTACAGAACCAGGTGGACCACGTCGACCCACCTGAGAGGGAGGCGGCGGACGTACTCTGACCCTTTGTTGCACACGGCGCACAGGAACATGTAGAACCTAAACGGGGGCAGGAGGAACCGTCAGCTCCGTCCACAGAAAGGTGGGTTTGGACGAAACGGACGAAGACTCACCTGTCCCCGAACATCATGGGGTCCTGCAGACACTGAGTGCATGCCTCGTGGAACCACTGCTGACACCTGAAACACTGCAGCATCTTCAGGTACCACCTGCACACAGAACACCGTCAGAGCTGGGCTCACCATCAACACCTGCCTGCAGCTGATTGGTCCAGCTTACTCTCCGGGGCCGCCGCAGTAACAGTAACACTGCTGCTGATTGGTCCGGTGCTGAGAGTCCCAGTTCAGAGAGGACAGGCCGTACGGCAGGACCTGCTTCATGGCCCACAGAGCTTTGGCTATTGGTCCTTTCTTCAAAGCCCCGCCTTTCTGTGAGGACACAAGGAGATGGGTCAGATCGGTCTGAGACAGAGAAATGGATCTGACAGCTTTTGGTCTTCCTGTGGTCTTTTGAACCGTTTGTAGTACCAGTGGTCTAAAGACTATAAACTGTGACCCTGTCTGGTCTAAGGACTATAAAGACCCTGTCTGGTCTAAAGACTATAAACTGAGACCCTGTCTGGTCTAAGGACTATAAACTGAGACCCTGTCTGGTCTAAGGACTATAAACTGAGACCCTGTCTGGTCTAAGGACTATAAACTGAGACCCTGGCTGGTCTAAGGACTATAAACTGAGACCATCTCTGGTCTAAGGACTATAAACTGAGACCCTGTCTGGTCTAAGGACCATAAACTGAGACACTCTCTGATCTAAGGACCATAAACTGAGACCCTGTCTGGTCTAAGGACTATAAACTGAGACCCTGTCTGGTCTAAGGACCATAAACTGAGACCCTGTCTGGTCTAAGGACCATAAACTGAGACCCTCTCTGGTCTAAGGACCATAAACTGAGACCCTCTCTGGTCTAAGGACTATAAACTGAGACCCTGTCCGGTCTAAGGACCATAAACTGAGACCCTCTCTGGTCTAAGGACTATAAACTGAGACCCTGTCTGGTCTAAGGACTATAAACTGTGACCCTGTCTGGTCTAAAGACTATAAACTGTGACCCTGTCTGGTCTAAGGACTATAAAGTCTGGTCGAAGGACTATAAAGACCCTGTCTGGTCTAAAGACTATAAACAGAGACCCTGTCTGGTCTAAAGACTATAAACTGAGACCCTGTCAGGTCTAATGACTATAAAGTCTGGTCTAAGGACTACTTATAAAGACCCTGTCTGGTCTAAAGACTATAAACTGAGACCCTGTCTGGTCTAAGGACTATAAACTGAGACCCTGTCTGGTCTAAGGACTATAAACTGAGACCCTGTCTGGTCTAAG